CCCAATTGACAGCGGATTGCACGTTACTCTCCAGCTCTTTCCTCTTTTCATCAAGACTTACAGTAAGCTGCATAATTCCCTCTATTGCAGTAGGATTTACAGGAAGGAGCAGATTTGTATAGTCCCTACTTCAGTGAAAAGCACGCATTCACTTGCAAAACCCACGTGCAAGACCCACGTTTAGTCCATCCTCCAGCCAAAAGTGAAGACGATGTGCAGAGCATCTTCGACAGAATTCGATGCAAGGAGCACACGTCATGTCAGAGACTCTCCGCTCATTCTTTGCCCCTTCATGTTGCTTTGCAAAGCCTGAGAGCAAAAAAACTGAATAATCCAAATAGTAGCGAATAAGCGCCTTCGAATCCAACCGGAGAGAAACAAGCTGGTTGGTTCGTGGCAGCCACTCGGCTCATTGATTGGTCCTGCATCTGTCATTTCCCAGTTCACCACTCCGCTGGCTTTCTCCGGCGGTAACTCATTTTTCAAAATCAGCTCATTGGGATTTCTTCATTTACACGACAGTGCAATTAGGAACGCCAGGAGTGAAGTTTTTGGTGGTGCTCGACATTGGGAGTGATCTGCTTTGGGTGCCTTGCGAGGGCACAGCTTACGTTCCTGATTTTAAGGTTAGCAAATATGACCACGGTCTCTTATATCTCAGCTGAAACTTCTAGCCTAGGGTTCTGGTAGAGGATGTTATGCACATAACAACGGAAGATAATCATCGGAAACTTGTTGATGCATACATTACCTTTGGTTATGGGTAGGTGCAAAGCGGCTCTTTCCTGGATGTTGCTGCTCCTAATGGGTTGCTTGGGCTCGGTATGCAAAACATATATGTTCCTAGTATTTTATCCCGGGAAGGCTTTACATCAGATTCCTTTTCCATGTGTTTCGGACATGATGGGGTTGGGAGAATTAATTTCGGTGACAGAGGGAGTCCAGGATAGGAAGAGACCCCTTTTAATTACAACCCGTCACATCCAAAGTATAACATCACCGTAACCCAATTCAATTGGGGACAGATCTTGTAGACATCGAATTCACAGCTATTTTTTATTCTGGAACATCTTTCACATACCTGGGTGACCCTTCTTATTCAAATCTTTCAGAGAGTTTCGATTCATAAGCTCGAGATAAGCGTTGCCCACCTGGCAAAATTGGCGGCGAGGTCGTTGACCGAGGTCATTTAGGCGGCGGCGATTCGAACTGAATTGGCGGCCATGATCGACTCTCCAAGGATGATGATGCAGGCAGACTGGGAACGGATCGGAGCCTGACGGTGAGCGACGGGCTCGGGTTGGCTTCGCCATGGCGAACAGAGACGGAACCCTAGATAAACCTCGCTGGTAAAGTGTCCAGAGAGAATGAGAAGGTGATGAATTTGGAAAGAGGAATGGCGGACATGTTGAGACTCTGTTGTCATTTTACAATATTGCAGGGGTTAGATTTTAGAGAGAGAAAGTTTGAAGCTCTCGGGGTTGAAGAGAGAGAGAGGGAGAGAGGAAGCAAAAAGAGAAGGTGATCTGTAGAGAAAGAGAGGAGAGAGAGATGGGACTGGTTCCTTGGGTTTTTTCTGGGAAAGCTTTGGGTTGTTGGGTTTTTGTAGATTTTGCAGATTCACGATGGAGGTGAAAAAATGAAAGAAAATCGACATAGTTTTTCGTGTCGATTCCCACAGACGACGCCAAATGTTGATGCACAAAATCGGAGGTCTTGGAACAACGTAATCCGACCGTGAATCTGTAAGAAAGTACAGAACACAAGATGTATCGTGATTCACCCCAATGTTTGGGCTACGTCCAAACTAATATTGTATTTCTCTGAGATGTTGAAGAGGGAGAGAGAGAGCTTCTGAGGGTGAGAGTCAGGCCTCTGGGGGTGAGGAGGCTTACTCTGAATATGAGAGCTTTGAGAGGGTAGGGGGGGCTTCTCTCATGGCCTAGGAATTGGCCTCCCTTAATGAGGAGAGTGAGGAGTCCTTTTATCGAATAAGGGCTCCTCACTTATTACATATTTGCCCTTTCATCTATTACATAATTACATTTGAGTCTACCGAGTATTTATACGAGATCTAAATACAGAGGCCCTAAGTATGGTACAAATAGGTTTCAACCAAAAAAAAAATTGCTTCTGGGTGCATTCTAAATTTATTTTTATTTTTATAAAATATGAGTACATTTATATAAGGGTACATTTTACATATAAAAAATTGATACATTTATATAAAAAATGTGGGTCCATTTCACAAAAAAAAAAGAGTACATTTTATACAAAAACAAAATGTCACAGCCCGTCCCGTGATTCTTTTTATCGAGGTTGTGAAATGACGAAATTATCCTTGACGGGTGCTAAGGCAGGTGTGTGATATATTATTGAACAATGCATTTTCCCTAAGTTTTGGAAAGTTTGAATTTTGATTAAAGGTTGTATGTGTTTTGTGTGGTTAAGGAAAGAAGTTGGACTTGTTTTGGGATGGACCACACACACACACGGGATACCCTCACCTCGTGCCCTCTCTCTCTCTCCTCCTTCTCTGTCACTCTCACTCTTTCCCTCTCGAAACTGTACGAACCGACCCAAAAACCCTTGAAACTTCATTGATTGAAGTGGAGATTAGCACCATTGTGTTCGTGAGTGCCCTACGAACTCAAAGGTTCCATTTTCAGGTAAGAAACCCTTCGTTTTCACGTTGAAAACTCAAGGTCCGAATTGAGTACTATTCATGAACTTTGTAATGGTTGGTTTTTAGGACAATCCAAGCTCATAGTGAGCTCTAGGAAGTTCCCACGAAGCTCGGGGACGTTCGTTTGGAAGTTTTGGACGTCGGGACACCCTAGTTCGAAGGTGGCCGGATTTGGTGAAGTTTCCCGACGTGATTTTCGAAGGTTTTGAGACTCCAAAGAGGTATAGCCTTCATCCCGTCGTGATTTAGGACATTTTGGTGAAAATTTCATGGAAAATGGTTGAGAAATAACAGAGAACAAGGAGATTGAAAAATCTCTAGTTTCCGACGACAGGAAAAACCAGTCTGGCGACTGGAGGAAGAAGATGACGCGCGTGGGGCAAGTGGGTCCGTGCCCCTCCCGACGCGTGGGGGCGCGTGCAGCCTCGAAATTTTTTTCTAAAAATATGTCGACGTTCGTGACGTCGAGTAGGTCACTGTGGTATATTCATATACCCAAATTGAGCACCGTATGAGAAGTTATTACGAATTGTCGATTATGTGCTTTAATTAACGTTTTTATAGTTGTTTCGCATATAGGTGATACCTATCCCGAGGACGAGCGCATTCAGGGACGTAACGAGGGTTACGACCCTTCGACTTACCAGTGAGTGGGCAGTATTTTCTGTATTTACCTATATACTATTGATTTTTCCCAGAAATTGAATTTAAATGAAAGTATGTTTTTAAAATGCCATGCATGCATATTGTGAATTATATGAACTAGTAATTGATGCATATATATGTGAAATGGTGTTGTGGACGCACAGGTGAGTATCAGGTGAGTTTTATGTTATTCATATGGTTTATTGATGATGTGAATTGTGTTGAGAGATCATAACCTGCACCCCTGGTGTTAGTGCTTATATTATTCACCCGCACCGCACGCTCACCTTGGATCCAAGTAGGTGCATGTCGTACAGACCATGAGAGGGTTCCGACATGCTAGTCGTACAGATCACTAGAGGTGGTTCTGACTGGTAGGTGACCTTAGATTATGTGCACAGATGATTGATGAGAGAAGCACTAGAGCGTATTATTACACCATTCTTGTCATACAGACTACTTCAGGTGGTTCCGACTTATGTGCCGAGTAGTGTCGTACAGGTCACCGTGGTGACTCCGGTTGGTTTGGATATTGAGCTATGGAATTAACCGTACAGGACCAACTGCAGGGTCTCCGATTGATTCATTATGTTACCTGTTATATTGATGCATTCTTAATCTGTTATTGACATTTATGGCATGGCCTGGCATATTTTATGGGTTTTGATAAAGAATTGTGATTTGAGATATACGAAGATTATATGCATATTATGTTATTTTCTAGGAAAGTATACAGGTTTTACAGCGAGGGTTTAGAAATGTTTTAAGTGAAATGTTTTTGAAAAACTTTGGTTTTACTGACCCACTCAATTTTGTTTTGCACCCCTCCAGGTTCTAGTTAGCAGCGTTGGTGGCCCACGAGGATTCCCACGGCGTACTGACAGACTACATAAATGTAGGACTCACCTGCGGGTGTTGTAATTTAGTTATGGTCCTACTTGACTGCACCTAGTACTTGTGCTCTGAATTTGTGTGTTTCACACTTAAACTTACTCTAGCACGTTACTTGGTTATTATTGCTAGTATTTGGTTTTTGTTTATTCGTATTTCTCTTATCTATTGCTTCCGCCTCGCACTTTTGGTTACGTCACGCCCACGTGACGGCCAGCACGCCTTGATTCTAGGATCGGGGTGTGTCAGTTTGGTATCAAAACCTAGGTTGCAGTCCTGTATAAATTGTTAATGCTCTAATGATCTTTTGGTGTCTTCTGTCAGAACTATGCCGTCTCGTAGGGAATCAAGCCGTGCTTCTAAGTCTAATGTCCCTGATATAACTCAATTAGGGGAAGCGATGGCCCATGCCTTTCAGAATGCAATTTGTCCTCCTCCTCCTCAGAGAACACCCCTGGAGACTATGTATAATGTAAAATTGGACCGTTTCATGGGTAATGAGGGTCATGAAGGGGCAGAAAAATGGTTAGACCATATTGAGAAGACTTTTCAGGTGATGCAAAGTCAAGGGAATCTTCCTGCTAATAGATAGGTTGAGACCACTACTTGGTTTTTGGGGCGAGGGCCAGCAGCTTGGTGGGTAAATCAGACTAAGTTTATGTCACCTGAGATGGCAGCTGACTGGGAAGTATTCAAAGAGAATTTTATGAAAAGATTTGTTCCTCCGGAGTACATTAATCTTAAGAAGCAAGAGTTCACTCAATTGAAGCAAAAGAATATGTCGGCACATGAGTATTACAGGAAGTTTACAGACTTGTCTCGTTATGACCCTAATACAGTTGGTAATCATGCAGAGATGCTTCACCGTTTTAAGCTGGAAACTAAGAGGAAATGGCGGACTTTTGCTAGTGCGCTTCCTTGCACCATTTATCATGAGTTTTCTGAGATTTTGGTTCAGATGTAGGATTCCGACAACCTTCCTAGTAACAGTGAGGATGATGAAGATAAGAATGATAATCAGAAGAAAGATGATAGGGGTAAAGGTATTTCCATTCAGGGACCCCGTAAGACACAGAATTTCAAGAAAAGTGGAGTGAGCTCGAGTTCTTCCAGTGGAGGATTCACAGGCCCGAGAAGAGGTGGAAGATTTGCTGGTGGACCCAGGTTTCAGAGACAGAGAGATTTTGGTGGTGGTGGTGGTTTGGGTGCTCCGTTGTGCTATCATTGTAACTTCAGACATCATAGAGAGTGTAAGAGAAGTGGTGGTGGTGGTGCTTGCTACACTTGTGGACAGATGGGACATAGGGTTACTCAATGTCCCCAGAGTCAGCAGAGATCTCAACAGTCTACTATGCCACCTCTAGCGCTGATTCAGCAGAGCTTTGGATCAGGCAGTTATGGTCAGACGGGTCGTGGTGGTGCTTACCACTATCAGGGTGATGCTGCTCCCTATGCTTCCGGACAGTATCAGTATTCCCAGGATCTTTATTCTCAGACTGGGTATTCCCAAGACCTTGGAGGTTATACTTCTTATTCTTCCATGCCAGCTAGTGGATCTCAATGGCATTAGGGAGGTCAGCCCCGTCAGGGGGAGGTTGCTGCTAGTGGTGCAGGACCATTTAGGCAGTCTAATCAGCCAGGACAGGGATGTACTTCTCAGGGGCGAGGTAACCAAGGCAATAGAGGTCGTGGTGGACGACAGCAAACTCAGGGTCGTGTTAATCACATCTCACTGCAAGATGCTCAGAACCATCCAGATTTGATTATGGGTACATTAAATATTCTTGGTCATTTTGCTAGAGTCTTGATTGATTGTGGTGCTACACATTCTGTGATTTCTCATACGTTTGCTCAAATGACTCAACCTCACCATACACCTCTAGGATTTGATTTAGAGTTTGCTATGCCTAGAGGGGACAAATGTTATGTTGATAGTGTTTATCCAGGGTGTCCAGTGATGATAGATGATGTAGTTATGCCAGCTAATCTTATCCCGTTAGATATTGTGGATTTTGATGTGATTTTAGGGGCAGATTGGTTGCATTATAATCATGCCCATATAGATTGTTACGGGAAGTCAGTTACTTTTCATCGTCCTGGACTACCAGCGATTACTTTTGTGGGTGAAAGCAGTGGGGTGAGACATGGTGTTATTTCTGCCATGAGAGCAAAGAATTTGTTATCGAAAGGTTGTCAAGGATACTTAGCACATGTGGTGTTAAATGATGTTGTTCCTAGCAGTGTGGAGGAAGTTGGAGTAGTCAGGCACTATCCTGATGTATTCCCAGATGATTTGCCGGGATTACCGCCAGATAGAGATGTAGAGTTTTCTATTGATTTGCTTCCAAGTACATATCATATATCTTTAACTCCATATAGAATGGCTCCAGCTGAACTGAGAGAGTTGAAAATTCAGTTACAGGAATTAATTGATAAAGGTTTCATTCAACCTAGCACTTCACCTTGGGGAGCTTGATGCGAAATATATAAGCACACAAATTAAACCCTCTTTTTATCAATTGTAGCAAAGTATGTAAGTAGGGATCGTTCTAGACCGGAAATTAGGAGGGATTGCTAAATCACTTGAAAACTGACTCAAATACGTAAAAACAAGTTTAAAACACTAAGCTAGACTCAGAGAATGCAAAACTAAACTTTAACACCAAAACAAACCAAAAGACTCAAAACAGCAAACAAACACTCAAAACTGCCTTAAAAACACTTTCTGGGCAGTTTTGACACCTAACACTAAATTGGACGAAATTGGGTTATAACTTGACTCAAGACCCTTAAAAACACAAACTAAATTAATTTCTACTTAATCTAACACTTTAAAATAAATGGGGAATTGGTTTTGACGAAAATTGAAAACAAAAACAAAACTTGTAAATTGAACAGATTCTAAAACGAATTTGAGAAAAGTGAATGGATGGAAAGCTAGCTAAGGGGTTCTTCTCCACACATGTCACACTTGCATACAAAACGATTTCCAATTGCTTCTCAATAAACCATGAATTCCCAACACCCCAGATTAACCGTGAATTGCACTAATTAACCCTCAGATTTTCCTTAAGTTATTGAATTGGATGAATTGCATACGACAACCCAAAGCATTCCCCACAAGTTCCCTACATGAATTGCATAATAGAGATACAAGCAAGAATCATCAAGTTCTATGAAAATCATAAGCATTGGCGAAGCACTCGTTACTATGAATTGCATGAAACTCATGCCAAGAATTTACTTAACACGATTGTGATCAACAACCTTTACTACTTGTGAATATAAGTTCATAACGATTAGGTGAAACTCCCTTATATCCTAGCATCAAACTCATGCATGAAAATTAAGCGTGCACTCTCAACCAACATACACAAATCAGTTTTAATTCATGTAGATAAGTAAATTGAATTCACAACTTATGAAACGCAATTAGAAGTAATCAAATCATATAGCAAGCATAAACATGGTTTCGAATTCCCCCCTAGCCAAGGGGGGTTTAGTTCCTCATACTCACAAAGCAAAGATACATAAATTTAGACATTAAAATCCAAAGAAAGAAAACACCTAGATGATCCAACTTGGACAGCAGGTGCATCCACAAGTCTTCTTTCCTCCTTGCTGGGGCACTTGGTCTAAAGTCAGGTTCTAGGGTGGTATTTGTATGGGAGAATGGGTAGGGAATGGTATGGAAGGGTTTAGGATTGATGGGGGGGTACGGCTGGGGTAAAAAGAATCAGAAAAATATGGAAGAATGGTGAAGGAAGGCTGCGACAAAGAGTGGGAATGATTTCTGGCGAAAATTCTGAATATGGAGGGGTGGTTGATGTGTTTTTGATGTAGTGTCATGTGTAGTGTTCTTCCCTTCACTCCCTATTTATAGAAGCTCCAAAGCAAGAATCACTCAAGTGGCTTCAATAAACAATACAAACAAAGACCAAAATGATGCAAAAACAGCTAGTTTACATGCTCTTTTATCATTGTGTCTTGCCTTTAACAAAAGGCAATCATTCCTTTTTTGCTAATTCAACTCCTTTGTAGCTGTCCATGTGCCTTCATTCTTCAATTTCTGATGCATTTGCCTTGTATTCCATCCCTTTTCCACATGTACTAGCTGTTAGACAACTTTCACACACATGTTTTGCATCATTTCATCTTGCAAACATCAACTTTTGACCACTTTACACCTCTACACACATGCTATGCATCATTTCAGCTTGCAATTATGTTTGTAGGTGCTGAAAATGTGAATACATCTTGTAAAGCAATCCAACAAATGGCATATTTCACTTCTTTTCCTTTCAAATTGTTCCTTAGGTGTATGTATCTGCACACTTCCACACTTCAACTTCATTATTCAGATTTTTGCATGTGTTGAAACCCTTTTTAAAACACCAAAAACGTCCATCCCACTTGCTCCATATGCATGCAATCCATTTTGGCCCAAAATTGCTCCAAATTGCACCAAAATGCACTTTCTTTCCAACTTTGTTATTAGGACCTACAAACACACGAAAATAGCTTAAAACACTCTTATAAGCAATAACTAACTAAGTAAATGCAAGAAAACATGTTAACTAAGTCGCATAAATATGCTCCTATCAGAGCTCCAGTTTTATTTGTAAGGAAGAAAGATGGAACTTTGAGATTATGTATCGATTGCAGGCAATTGAATCGGGTAACGATTAAAAACCGTTATCCATTGCCTCGTATCGATGATTTGTTTTATCAGCTTAAAGGTGCGTGTGTGTTCTCTAAGATTGATTTGAGATCTGGCTATTATCAGTTGAAGATTAAAGATGATGATGTACCTAAGACGGCTTTCAGGACCCGTTATGGACATTATGAATTTTTGGTGATGCCAATTGGATTGACGAATGCACCTGCAGCTTTCATGAGGCTAATGAATGAGGTATTCCAGCAATATCTTGACAGGTTTGTCATTGTCTTTATCGATGATATTCTAGTATACTCTAAGTCAAAAGCAGATCATATTCGACATCTTAACTTGGTATTGAAGAAATTGAGGGAGCATCGGTTGTATGCCAAGTTCAGTAAATGTTAGTTTTGGTTGAATGAAGTGGCATTTTTTGGGCATGTAGTATTGGCACAAGGAATTCAAGTAGATCCTCAAAAGATTGCAGCAGTGGAAAATTGGGAACAGCCACGAACCGTCACTGAGGTATGGAGTTTTCTTGGTCTAACAGGTTATTATCGACGGTTTGTTCAAGATTTTTCTATGATTGCTTTGCCACTAACGAAATTAACCAGGAAAGATGTTAAGTTCGAGTGGGATGAGAATTGTGAGCAAAGTTTCCAGCAGCTGAAATATTGCCTCACTCATGCTCCAGTATTGGTACTTCCTGATGATATCGGTAACTTTGAGATTTACAATGATGCTTCTTTGAATGGTTTGGGATGTGTTTTGATGCAACATAATAGAGTGATTGCCTATTCTTCTCGACAGTTGAAGATTCATGAAAGGAATTATCCTACTCATGATCTTGAGTTGGCAGCCATTGTCTTTGCTTTGAAAATTTGGATGCATTATCTCTATGGTGAGAAGTGTAAGATCTTCACAAATCATAAGAGTCTCCAGTATCTTTTCACTCAGCATGATCTTAATCTTCGTTAGCGAAGGTGGATGGAGTTACTAAGTGATTATGACTGCACTATTGAGTATCATCTGGGTCGTGCAAATGTGGTAGCTGATACGCTGAGTAGGAAACCTCAAGGTCGACTCAATGCTTTGTATGCTGGTCGTGTTCCTCTTCTTGCAGATTTGAGAGCTACTGGAGTAAAGTTGGAGTTAGAAGAACAAAGAGAAGCTTTTCTTGCTAGTTTCCAAGTCAGGCCAGTTTTGGTTGATCGTGTACTTGAAGCTCATATGGTAGATGAAGAAATTCAAGAAATGATTCGATTGAGAAGTGAAGGGAAAAAGAAAGACCTCAGAATTCGAGAATCAGATGGCATGCTTATGCAGGAGAACAGAATGTATGTGCCGAATAATGAGGAACTAAAGAAAGAAATTTTGGATGAAGCACATTGTTCGGCTTATGTGATGCATCCAGAAGGAACTAAGATGTACCATACCATTCGACCATTTTATTATTGGCCAGGTATGAAAAGGGAAATTGTAGAATATGTAAGTAGGTGTATTGTTTGCTAGCAAGTCAAAGTAGAAAGAAAGAAGCCTTTTGGGCGGATGCAACCACTTCCCGTTCCTCAGTGGAAATGGGAAGATATAACTATGGATTTTGTGTATAAGCTTCCTCGTACACGAAATGGATTTGATGGTGTTTGGGTGATTGTAGATCGGCTTACCAAGTCAGCACACTTCATTCCCATGAGGGAAAAGTATCCCCTGAATAAATTGGCTAAGTTGTTCATTACGAAGATTGTGAAGTATCATGGAGTTCCAGTGAATATTATCTCTGATCGAGATCCAAGATTTACTTCTAAGTTTTAGGTAGCTTTTCAGGAAGTTCTTGGTACGAAACTGCTTTACAGCACTGCTTATCATCCTCAAACCGATGGGCAATCAGAGAGGACTATTCAAACATTAGAGGATATGCTGAGATCTTTAGTGTTACAGTTTGGTGATTCTTGGCATGATCGCTTAGACTTGATGGAATTTGCCTACAATAATAGTTTTCATTCGAGCATTGGTATGTCACCATTTGAGGCACTTTATGGTAGAGCTTGTCGTACGCCATTGTATTGGTCAGAGGTTGGCGAAAGAGTGTTAGAAGGCCCAGAGATTGTGGATGAGACTACTCAAAATGTTCAGGTGATTAAGTCTAACCTGAAAGCGGCCTAGGATCGACAAAAGAGTTTAGCAGATAGACATGCTATTGATCGAATATATGATGTGGGTAATTTGGTATTCTTGAAATTGTCACCTTGGAGAGGTGTAGTGCGGTTTGAAAAGAAAAGCAAGCTAAGTCCTAGGTACATAGGACCTTATGAGATCACTGAGAGGATTGGTGAAGTCACTTACAGATTGGAGTTGCCTCCGGAGTTATCTAAAGTACATAATGTGTTTCATGTCTCGATGCTTCAACATTATGTTTCAGATCATTCACATGTGATTCCTCCTCAACCTTTGGTGATTAATCCGGATTTGACGTATGATGAGGAACAAGTGACTATCTTGGATTGGAAAGACAAGGTTCTAAGGAATAAGACTGTGAGCTTGGTAAAAGTATTGTGGCGGAACCACTCAGTAGAAGAAGCTACTTGGGAGACAGAAGATCGAATGAGAGAGATGTATTCGAGGTTGTTTTATGAATATTAATGGCTTGTTTGGTTGCATGAATTTCGAGGATGAAATTCTATAAGGGGGGAGGATTGTCACAGCCCGTCCCATGATTCTTTTTATCGAGGTTGTGAAATGACGAAATTATCCTTGACGAGTGCTAAGGTAGGTGTGTGACATATTATTGAACAATGCATTTTCCCTAAGTTTTGGAAAGTTTGAATTTTGATTAAAGGTTGTATGTGTTTTGTGTGGTTAGGGAAAGAAGTTGGACTTGTTTTGGGATGGACCACACACACACACACGGGATACCCTCACCTCGTGCCCTCTCTCTCTCTCCTCCTTCTTTGTCACTCTCACTCTCTCCCTCTCGAAACTGTACGGACCGACCCAAAAACCCTTGAAACTTCATGGATCGAAGTGGAGATTAGCACCATTGTGTTCGTGAGTGCCCTACAAACTCAAAGGTTCCATTTTCAGGTAAGAAACCCTTCGTTTTCACGTTGAAAACTCAAGGTCCGAATTGAGTACTATTCATGAACTTTGTAATGGTTGGTTTTTAGGACAATCCAAGCTCATAGTGAGCTCTAGGAAGTTCCCACGAGCTCGGGGATGTTCGTTTGGAAGTTTTGGACGTCGGGACACCCTAGTTCGAAGGTGGCCGGTTTTGGTGAAGTTTCCCGACGTGATTTTCGAAGGTTTTGAGACTCCAAAGAGGTATAGCCTTCTTCCCGTCGTGATTTAGGACATTTTGGTGAAAATTTCATGGAAATGGTTGAGAAATGATAGAGAACAATGAGATTAAAAAATCTCCAATTTCCGGCAACCGGAAAAACCAGTCCGGCGACTGGAGGAAGAAGATGACGCGCGTGCAGCCTCGAAAAATTTTTCTAAAAATATGTCGACGTCCGTGATGTCGAGTAGGTCACTGTGGTATATTCATATACCCAAATTGAGCACCGTATGAGAAGTTATTATGAATTGTCGGTTATGTGCTTTAATTAACGTTTTTATAGTTGTTTCACATATAGGTGATACCTATCCCGAGGACGAGCGCATTCAGGGACGTCACGGGGGTTACGACCCTTCGACTTACCAGTGAGTGGGCAGTATTTTATGTATTTACCTATATACTATTGATTTTTCCCAGAAATTTAATTTAAATGAAGGTATGTTTTTAAAATGCCATGCATGCATATTGTGAATTATATGAATTAGTAATTGATGCATATATATGTGAAATGGTGTTGTGGACGCACAGGTGAGTATCAGGTGAGTTTTATGTTATTCATATGGTTATTGATGATGTGAATTGCGTTGAGAGCTCATAACCTGCACCCCTGGTGTTAGTGCTTATATTATTCACCTGCACCGCACGCTCACCTTGGATCCAAGTAGGTACATGTCGTACAGACCATGAGAGGGTTCTGACATGCTAGTCGTACAGATCACTAGAGGTGGTTCCGACTGGTAGGTGACCTTAGATTATGGGCACAGATGATTGATGAGAGAAGCACTAGAGCGTATTATTACACCATTCTTGTCGTACAGACTACTTCAGGGGGTTCTGACTTATGTGTAGAGTAGTGCCGTACAGCTCACCGTGGTGACTCCGGTTGGTTTGGATATTGAGCTATGGAATTAACCGTAGAGGACCAACTGCAGGGTCTCCGGTTGATTCATTATGTCACCTGTTATATTGATGCATTCTTAATTTGTTATTGACATTTATGGCATGACATATTTTCTGGGTTTTGATAAAGAATTGTGATTTGAGATATACGAAGATTATATGCATATTATGTTATTTTCTGGGAAAGTATACAGGTTTTACAGCGAGGGGTTAGAAATGTTTTAAATGAAATGTTTTTGAAAAACTTTGGTTTTACTGACCCACTCAATTTTGTTTTGCGCCCTTCCAGGTTCTAGTTAGCAGCGTTGGTGGCCCACGAGGATTCCCACGGCGTACTGACAGACTACATAAATGTAGGACTCACCTGCGGGTGTTGTAATTTAGTTATGGTCCTACTTGACTGCACCTAGTACTTGTGCTCTGAATTTGTGTGTTTCACACTTAAACTTACTCTAGCACGTTACTTGGTTATTATTGCTAGTATTTGGTTTTTGTTTATTCGTATTTCTCTTATCTATTGCTTCCGCCTTGCACTTTTGGTTACGTCACGCCCACGTGACGGCCAGCACGCCTTGATTCTAGGATCGGGGTGTGTCACAAAATGCGGCACGTTTTATAAAAATTAGATGGGTACATTTTATATACAAAACCATGGGTTACATTTACATAAAAAAATAAATAAACAAAGGGTACATTAAATTTAAAAAATGGGTACATTTTGGATAAAACTAAATAAATAGATTTTACATAAAAAGAATGATACGTACAAAACAAACAAAAAAATTGGTACATTTTGCATATAATAAAGTGGTACATTTTTAAAGAAAAATGGCCATGTTATAAACATATTATGAATACAAATAAAAGGTTAAAAAATTATGAGTACAAAATAAAAGTTTAAAAAATATGGGCACAAAAAGAAATTAATATATGTGTACAAATTAAAACTGAAAAGAAAGTTGGTACAATTTAAAAAAATATATATTGCAAATTAAAAATGGGTATAAACTAAAAATAAAAATATATGATACAAAATTTAGCAATAAATATAAGTACACCAAATGTAACGTTTCTAACACTAAATGAATATATTTAGAAATACAATTTAATTGAAAAAATTATCTTGACATGTAAATATTTATTATTGAAATAATTAATGACATTTATTAAAACCTAAGGACTTTGATTAAAAATTGAAAAGGAATAAGATTTTAATCAATGAAGTAGAAAAAACATGAATATGAACCTAATTTCTACAAAAGGAAATTACCAGCAGTTCTACTCCATGTCGGATTATGAAATCATGTCATTAGCAATCTATATATATATATATATATATATATATGAACATGAATATTAATTAAAAGTGAAATTTGAATAGGAAAACCACCTGACATTGGGTTTCCTTTTCCTAGTTAGAAAATAGAAGGCTTGGCTCCCAAGCAACCGGCGCAGTCCTACTCCATGTAGGATTATGAAATCATTCCATTAGCAATGTGTATATATAGGCATAGGCAGAAGCCAATGAACCACAACAAACGATCAACTCTTGCTTTCTTCTAAATTGTAACCCGACAGACACACAATTATGGCACTTTCCAGGTTTATCTTTGTTATTTGCTTACTGTTTACCGTCTTCTCTTCAGCCGCCGCACAACCGCCATGCATGAGCCGTACCTTCTCCAACAAGAAAACCTTCGCCGCATGCAGTACTCTGCCCGTTTTGAACTCGACGATCCACTGGAATTACTACCCGTCGACAGCCACGGTTGACATTGCATTCACACAATCTGTGGTGAGTGACTCGAGATGGGTTGCATGGGCCATAAACCCTACGTCCACTGGCATGGTCGGTTCACAAGCCATTGTCGCTTACAAAAGAACCGACGGAACTATTACTGTTTACTCTTCACCAATTAAAAGTTACGGGACACATTTGGAACAAGGGAATGTAAGCTTCCCTTTGTACGACGTCTCTGCGGTTTTTGAGAACAACGAATTCATCATCTTTGCAACCATAGGCCTTCCGAACAATGTCAGCGTTGTGCACCACGTCTGGCAGCAAGGACCCATGTTTGGTAACACCCCCGGAATGCACTCGCTTTCAGGACCCAACGTGCAATCCTTTGGAACCTTGGATTTTCTTTCCGGGAAAATTGAAACAAGCAAGGGAAGTACTTCAACGTCCGCCTTAAAATATGCGCATGGAATTATCAATACCATCAGTTGGGGCATACTTATGCCCATCGGCATAATCGTTGCACGGTATCTCAAGACAGTCGAAGGGGCTGATCCGGCATGGTTTCATGCTCACAGAGGATGCCAAATGCTGGCTTTTCTTGGAGGGATTGCAGGGTGGGGAACTGGAATTTTTCTTGGCTCTAAATCTCCGGGGATTCAGTACAAAGGGCATAGATGCATCGGCATCACTCTGTTTGCCCTTGCCACGATTCAAGTAGCGGTAGCTCTTTGTTTGAGGCCGAAGAAGACAGACGAGAATAGGAAATATTGGAACTGGTTTCATTGGGTTGTGGGGTATGGAACAATCGTCCTAAGCATCGTCAATATTTTCAAAGGATTTGACATATTGGAGCCGGCCAACAAGTGGAAATTTGCTTACATTGCCATCATCGGTACTTTGGGATGCATCGCTGCAATCCTAGAGCTACGAAAACTAGGCTCTTTCCTTTCGAGGTTTAGAAGCAATCGAGCTGCAGGGCAAGAAATAGTCGAGAGTACTCAAACAATAGTGTAACTATGTACTTTTATTTTTATTTCTTTGGTTGATTTTTTTGTAACTGAATACTTACATTAAATAGTTGGTTTCTGTAACACGTATGCACTTTTATATCAGTATATTTGTTACATTCCATCAGCAATTGACATTTTTTGTCTGGGTCGTTATTAAAAATCCAAAAAACATTAGAAAATAAAAATGTCAAAAACGTAGAAGTTTTCTAGTATCTTATTGAACGGCAATAATTTTTTGGTTCGCAGGTCAAACAATAAGCATGCTTGTTCTCTGCTTGATAGCCAAAAAGAATGCATCTATTTCATGCCTGCTTTCCACTAGACCAATCTCTAGGAGTTTTCCAATTTACTTCTTAAAAGGAGTTCATATATGTTGCACGTGCTTATTTAGAACCAAAACTACAGTTCACTGTAGTTTGGTAAAATTGCTCCAGTTTGAGGATTTTTTTAATTAAAAAACCGATAATATCTAAATTAAGTTGGCAGGGCGTGAGCAAAGCCTTACAAATGGCTACAGTTTACGGATTGGACTACAATGCTTACTTCCATTTAAACGGTCAAATCTGAGAGTCCTATCCGAACTGCGCGTCCATTTTTATCTTTCACAAAAACCTTAGCCCCTTTGGGTTTTTAGCGCCTAAAACCCCCGGATTTCTTCACTTCACACCTTGAGCCATGGAAGCTCTGCAAGCTTCCCTCCGGCAAGTCCCTCACACCCAATTCGAACCCGACACTGATAAAATCAAACGCAGCCTCACCAAGAAAGGCGTCCACCCAACTCCCAAGATCCTCCACACCGTCCGCAAAAAAGAAATCCAAAAACACAACCGCAAGCTCAACCGCCTCGCGGAGGCGGATTCATCTCCGCCGTTCTCGCAGACCCAAAAACAGGCCTTGGCCGAAGAAACCCATTTCCGAACTCTCAAGCGCGAGTTCAGGGACTTCACCAAAGCGGTCAAAGCGAAGAGTGGCGGCGAGGAATTCATGGTTGGGAGGCCTTGGGAGGGGATTGAGAGAATTGGGTTCCGAGAGCTCGCCAGTACTAGTGCGGAGTACGGCGGAGAGAAGCTGAAGAAGGAGGAGGTGAATGCGTTGAGGGAAATGTTCGAGGCCCGGAAGCTCGAGGAGTTGAAATGGGTGTTGGATGATGATATTGAGATGAAAGAAGAGTGGTTCAATGGTGAAGACAGGGTCTGGGACCCTTCTAAGCGGCGGAGACGTGGCGAGGGCGAGGTGATTCAGTTCCTTGTTGATAGGTATGTATTGGGGGTTTTGGTTTTGGAATGTATTGGTAGTGGTTTTAGAATGCTGTACTATCTGGGGTTTTGTCAATTTTGGGAATTTTGTTTATTTTTTCTTGAGGTGGTTTTGTGGGCAGGCTTAGTTCTACCGAGTTTTCGGCGAGGGACTGGAAGCTTTCGAAGATGATGAAACAGTCAGGGTTGCAGTTCACTGAAGGTCAGACGCTTAAAATTCTTGGAGGACTTGGTGCTAAGGGATGTTGGAAACAGGCATTGTCTGTTTTGGATTGGGCATACAACGATAAGGGGAATAAACATTACAAAAGCAGGTAACTTTATTTGGTGAAAACCTTGGTTACTTTCATATATGTTTCTTCAAGCACAATTTATCTATATCCACTTGTGAGTTTGGAAAATCTGGCCTGAATTGAACTACTAAAGGGTCTTAAAATTCAAAAATTGAATAATGGAAAGAAGCTCGATTGTCATACGTGCCAAGGATGTCATCCAATATGTCAAAGGTTTTTGTTGGCTTTCTTTCTGGGATAGATTTGATGCAAAAGCAAGGATTTTTCTTGTGCCGGAGCCATATTTAGGAACATCAACCTGTTCACGCAAACAAATAATGTTTTAGATTCAGAACAAACTCAACCTTGATTTTGGGAAGGATTAAAGTACCTCAAGTGGGTTGTTAATTGTTTGGTAGAACTTTGATGATTCTGTAGTCATGTACTGAAAACAATGAGATGAAATACTGTAGTGCTTTTGTTATAGGCAACAACTTTTGGCTTGTGAACTACTCTATTGAATCTTCCAAAATCTTTTCTTTTACAGCCTTTGCTAATTTTTGTATGAAGTGTGCATATTGGTGTGTGACTTCACTGACTTGATATGCTGCTATTGGCTCAGTTATAAATCTACACAGATCCGTTAAAGTACCCTCTTTTGTGTTGTTGACAAATTGATGCATGTTGTAGGTTCGTATATACAAAACTTTTGGCAGTTCTTGGGAAGGCACGAAGGCCCCATGAAGCTCTTCGCATTTTCAATCAGATGCTTGTGATGCCTTGCTCTTATGCAACTATTTTTTTGAATCCTCTGTCATACTTTATAGAGTTTTATTGAATAAATTCTTACATGCAAGTCATTCAGGGAGATTTCAACATATATCCTGATGTTGCTGCCTACCATAGCATTGCGGTTACACTTGGTCAAACCGGTCTTCTGAAGGAATTGCTGAAGATTATTGAATGCATGAGGCAGAAACCTTTCAAAGGAAATAAGAGTTTGTCTCACACGAACTGGGACCCCGTTGTTGAACCCGATGTCATCGTGTATAATGCTGTAAGAGAGCAATTTTATGTTTTGCACTGTCATTCCTTGTCATAGATTAATCTCTGTGTTGATGCGATTCTCTCTCTCTTCCAAATTGGTTGCCAGTTACTGAATGCTTGTGCTCAAACCCATCAGTGGAAGGGTGTATCTTGGGTCTTTAACCAGTTGAGGAAGAGTGGCCTGAAACCTAATGGAGCAACGTATGGACTTGCTATGGAGGTAATAATTGGATAATGTCATGTATTAATGCGTAATCCTTCAAGCAAAGGTCTTTTTTGTTATGATCTAAAGGAATAGAGAAATACAATGATTCAGGGGTCGAGAATAAAAACTTAAGTCTTGATTTGAATTATTTGTATTCCCATCAGATATTTGTATATATCAATTATATTGCTAGCAATGTACGTCTTACTCTACCAGGAGGTGCTTGTTGTTTTAAGGTAATGCTGCAATCTGGGAAATATGACCTTGTCCACGAACTCTTTAGGAAAATGAAAAAAAGTGGCGAAGCTCCAAAAGCTCTCAACTACAAAGGTAATTCTGTTTGTATCTCATGTGGTATGAGTTGGATGCTGTATCATTATTTATGCTCTTACATATGATGTATCATTTCCCAGTTATTGTCAGAGCTTTTTGGTGTGAAGGGAAAATTGATGAAGCAGTGGAAGCAGTTAGGGATATGGAACAAAGAGGAGTGGTTGGAACAGGCAGTGTATATTATGAGTTAGCTTGCTGCCTTTGCAACAGCGGCAGGTGGCAGGATGCTCTGACAGAAGTAAGTTTCTTTCTCTGTGGAATTTAGGTCTATTGTGACTGGCTTTAATTGTTTACATGTGGTGTAATCAAACTGTGCGTGATATGTGGATGAAGAGTCTTCGGCAGGATTGTTATCCTTGCTGCAGTTCCTGCCATGTTTTTTGTCATTCATTTTCTTTTTATCAAGTTAGGTTTTTTTTTTCTTTCCTTGAATGAGGTGGATGAAGGAATAAGTTTTTACGCTGGGGTCCTCGTACTGTTATGATTGGTTTATTGCAAATATAGGAAGTTTCTAGTGGCACAAGTCATACACGTTTGCATTCAACTATCTACGCATTCCAGATCATCAAGAATTGAAGCATGGACAATTAATTTATAGTGTAGTTGTCGTGGAATAGATGATGTTCATTTCTATAAATTTTGCTTGGTTATGTTTACTACTATGTGTTCCTGTGTAGGTGCTTTGAATATTTTTAGGTGGAGTTGTTCCTAAAACAATTTCTTAAGGGTGCATTTATATAACAACGATCATTGTGAGTTTGCAGAGATATGTTTGGCACTTGATTAGACATTTTTCTTTCTACATAATAAGCAACGTCTACCTTATTAACGAGTTTCATGTATGTGGGGTGAGCTGAAACAATATTCAGCTAGCTATGGCATGAAAAAGTAGCACTTGACTCTTAAGTTTTCTTTAATACCTACTGCAGGTTGAGAAGATGAAAAAGGTAACAAATACTAAACCTTTGGAGGTCACCTTCACAGGCATGATAACATCTTCCATGGAGGGAAGACACATTGATGACTGCATATCTATATTTGAACACATGAAAACCCAGTGTTCCCCTAACATAGGGACCATAAATGCAATGCTGAAAGTCTTTGGACGTAGCGATATGTTTTTCAAAGCTAAAGAGTTGTTTGAAGAAATCAAAACGGTTAAACCTGATTCTGATCCGTTACTAGACGGAGGTGGTACTTCCCTTGCCCCCGATGAGTACACATATATCTCAATGCTGAAGGCATCTGCCAGTGCTCTGCAATGGGAATACTTTGAACATGTGTACAAGGAAATGGCTTTGTCTGGATATCAAATCGATCAAAGTAAACATGCATCGCTACTTGTGGAAGCATCCAGAGCTGGGAAGGTAAAGTACATAGCTAACGGCCTTTATTTCTTCGTCTTCTTACATTGAATTTTTTTACAGTGTCCAGTGATAGTGTTCATCTTTCCACTAAATGCACCTTGTTTGGAATGAAATCCAAGAATTTATTGAGGTATTAGGAAACATGTAGATCTCCTTTTGATTCTTCTCGAAAGCTCTCGACTTTTAAATTCGGGTTTTTGATTTGTTTCTTCTTTTTCAGTATCCCTATCACTTGTGTGGTTTTGCGGTCTTATTTTCTGTAACCACTGGATGAGTCGGGAACTTATACTTCGTAATCTGTTTGATGCAGTGCCATCTACTCGAGCACGCATTTGACGCAATTTTGGAAGCTGGAGAAATCCCCCATCCGTTCTTCTTCACTGAAATGGTATTTCAAGCTACAGTCCGGCGTGATTATAGGAGAGCCGTAACCCTGGTCAGCGCCATGGCTCACGCCCCGTTTCAAATCAGCGAAAGGCAGTGGACGGACCTTTTCGAGAAAAATGGAGACGCGATCAGACAGG